TACCCTACTCTACCCTGCCCTGCCCAGCCCTGCCCTGCCATGCCCTGCCCTACCCTACCCTACCCTACCCTACCCTACCCTACCCTACCCTACCCTTACCTACCCTACTCTACCCTTACCTACCCTACCCTACTCTACCCTACCCTACCCTACCCTATCCTACCCTACCCTACCCTACCCTACCCTACCCTCCACGGTCGAATAAACTTTATCATATCAGCAATTACAATGTATCAATACAAACCGTTTCTGTCCCCACAATCATCACAGTCATGCCCAAGTGCGCAATATTGAACTTCTTCAGCGCCCTCACCGCCGTCATCACAGAAGGTATCCGACGTGAAATCATACACACAGTAGTCTGAACACACAGTGCCTTCCCCTGTCGACCAATAACATGTATTGAGTAATGGAAATCACGTTGGCCCACGTTATGGTAGCAACCAAGAACATTTTTAATAATCATAATAATAATAGTTATTCATGGTCGCAAACGTAACATATAATTACTAGTACATAAAAACATTTCTTTTTCAGTACTCATTTGGTTGTGCCTATTCATTCAGTCATCGGGTGATGCAAACATCGTGTCAACAATTCAATATTTGGAAGTTAGGTGGCATTTATATTTGATTACAATAATTATTATTACATTAAATGGAAACTCTCGGAATACTTGATTTACATTGAACAATGTTATCCTGTTTACCTTCGGTTACGCCCTCTATAGTCGTATAGTCACGCGGTTCGCAGTCTGTGCAATCGTATCCCTTGTTACAAATATTATCAACTGCGCCCTCTTCGCCGTCTTCACAATCACCATTGTTTGTTGCATCAACGAAGCATGTGTTCAAACACAAATCTGAAAACAAAAATGTCGGTTTTAAACTTGTTTGAAACAAAGAGTGAATAATACATACTCGTCATTTGCGCATGCGTCAGATGGCCATAGCGAGTCAGTTCTCACGCGTGCGCAATTGACGATCCCCCCGCTTTAAAACAATCATTTGAAACTCACCGTTATCCCTTGGTCCACAGTCTCCACAATCAGTGCCTAGCTGACATAGACTTGTATCCGAACCACTTCCCCCATCGTCACATGACCCATCATAATTGTTATCAGAGACGCACTCGTCTTCGCATATATCAACTATAATAACAACAGTTCTCGTATTGACATTTCTCGCACAAGTGGGCGAAATACTAGTACATTACGCAATTTATTTATTTTTTACTCATAGCATATTTTTAATCGGGAAACAAGTGTAATGTATTTGTAATGGATGTCAGTGCCCTTAAAACTGAGATGTATTCCCGTTTATGTGTTTTTCGTTCAAGCTGCGTTGATTATCGATACAATTTTTGTGAGGATATTTTGGAAACATTATCTACGTGTTCACAATTGAGAGAAACTTTTAATATCAAGACATTTAACTTTTTGAAAAAAATTTGATTCATTCTCATTGTTTGTACATTCATCTTAATACAAGTATAAACATCCCAAATGAATATATCAAATAAGTCGAATAAATCCGATTTCTAAAAAACTACTTTTACCAGCACAACTTGCATGATTTTGGCTGTTTTGAATCTTCACTGATTTTTGGTGAGTTACACGTGAAAAGCTATTTTCACTGAATGTTAATTTTACTGATTCATTCCTTCATTGACAATGAATTCGAAGTGAGAATAAAGCACTTGACAGTAACTAATACATGTTTTCTACTATATGTGTTGTTAGTTGACTACAATACCTGCTTCTCTCAATCCACAGTCGTAGCAATCGTTGCCATAGGGACACATATTTGTATGTGATGTAGGTCCACCATCATCACAGTAACCATCGAAGGAATGGGCAGAGTCAACATAAGAACAGTCGTCCTCACATACGCCTATAAGTAATATGTTATCAAATATAATTTTACATAAAAATGCAATGGATTTTCGAATTTCATGTAGTGGTATGCAAGCCAATAAATATAAAATATGCATTATGGGATGCATAAATACCAAAACCAAAAAACGAAAATCAAAAAAATCCTCCACGACAAGCCCAAGCGTTGTCACCATATCAAACAAAGTATAAATTCCTTTAAACAAGAATAGTCCTAGTGACATTATTAATTATAATTTAATCATAATATAAATATATATATGTAATTCAATACTAAACTCTCAAAAATCCACTGGTAAGGATTATACAGGCTGGGTTGCAGCTACACACCGTGACGTGTACAACAATCGTTATCCGAACTGAACAGGTAGGCACTGATAGCACAAATAAACGATGTGCCGAGGGCTACTATCACTTTTTAATATAGGGATCCTGTGGTTTATTGTATAATAACACCAAACACTCGTTCTCTTGTGAGTACCAACTCGCCTCATTTTTCACTGTATGTAATCATTCGCTTCGTTTCATGTGTCTACCTTGAGATACAATAGTGCCACTGTCCATTATTTTACTAAACACTTAAACAGAATATATTATGCAAGTCTGTATCATAAAAAAATTACAAATCGAATCGAAAATGGCTTGCAATTTCCTTTATACTCAACCCATTAGTATGCATTAGGATAGGTAATAGTTGGGAGTCGTGACACCGGATAATTTTACTAAAAGTTGGCAAACGAATCACTTTATAACTGTTTGTATCCCATGGTGAAAGTTTTTTACTCGTTTATTAGACGTGTGGGCTGTTTATTTCAAACGACCCGCTGGTTCAACGTCCTACTACGTGGAAATATTTGCGGGTTACATCGTGTCCGCCGTGACAGGACGAACGCTAAGGACGTGTAATCACGTCGACCATACCGACACACTGCCAATACACTGTACCTACCATTCCTGTCCCCACAGTCAGTGCAGTCATGTCCCAAAGTACAGTTGTCAGTGTCTGCCCCATCTCCACCGTCGTCACATGACCCATCGTTGCCTAAATACTGGATGCACACGTCCCTGCATATTTCACCTGTATTGGAAACAACTCAATTGTAGCAATTGTTTTCAAGAAAATATATTCGTTAAAAGTAACATTGACGGTAAAATAAATTGGCCATCTAAAGCCAGAGGCATCACGATCAATCACGTCGACAGCAACAGGTTGTTTTCACCCAGCCATGACTGGGATTTGAAGATGGCTATCATAAACGAAGAGTTCCACCACATATGATAATTCGATAATTCAAAGGCAACCGTCCGTATAGCGACTATTATATTCCTTAATTTGGCTCTATCCAAGCGTGATGATTAGTTCCCAGGCCTGCCAGGAATGTAGCAAATGCTAACCTCCTGAATGACCGTGAATGTGCCAGATATTTCAATATAGGATGACAATCCACCACGGATTATCATAGTTGTAAGAACAATTGGCTTATTAAATTATGATCACTACAATACAATGATGATGTAGATTTCTCTGTGTTTACGAACATGGACTCAGTGTCGAATAAAACTCTGAACATCTTAACATACAAACCGGTTTGAATTGCCTAACACTTAATACGGAGAAATGGTTTCAACGTTTACAATGCAACGAACAGAAAATTTAAAGCGCGGTAGTCGTCGCGCAGCGCGTGTTCGAATTTCATGCAAATAAACAATGTATTTTACACGCGTTGTATACGTCGCTCGCTATGAGTCCCATATCGAACAGGACGCGGCGTGACGACTGACGCCCTTTAAGTGAAAAGTGGATTACAATTTTACACAGAAAAATTGCACTGATATTTAGAATCGTTCGTAAATTCCGTCCCAAATGTTCACATTTGGTAGATAGCAACGCATTGTCGCCTACCATGTACAGATACAACGTAGTAACTTGCAGTCATTTATTGACTAAATTTGCAAACGTTCTGAGCTAACCATGATCTGAAAACTATAATTAATAACATATACCTCACCTTGGCATAGGTTCACATACAATAACGCTACAAACACCAGCAACACACAGTAAGTCACCGCCTTACACATCACGATTACGCATACAACCAAGTGTGGTAGTAAGTACACACCCCTCTCCTCGCTGGTAGATACACTGGTTGCCGAACACACAAGTGTTTGGTACTGATTTCCATAGAAACTAGATTTAAGTTCACACAATCAAAGTTAAATAGAAACTTGTTGTATGCAAATATATGGTGACCTTATCTAGACTAACAGATTTATTTCCAGTCATCGTGTTCGTTTTTTCTTATCACGTGGTGGGTGAGGATCACAGTAGATTTACATAATTAAAGCATCCATTTTGTCCATGATAAACTGTAATTTTGTGACTTTCATAGGTTGTACTTTCTCTTGTCTTGAAAACTTGTTTCGGCCTTGTGAGAACACATAACGTCGTCGGTAGAGGGCGAAGCGAGAACTTTGTATGACGTAGCAACAGAGAAAATGTTCCTGAATTGGTTACAGATGTACAAGTGTTGTCAATGTGAAGTTCCTGCTTACTTACCGATGACTCGTGCACGGCGAACTCAAAACAGAAATTGAACAATATCTGTGGCCATATTGTTTCTTTCAATGCGTTCGATCGCACCCATGAATAATGTGGCGTTCGGCTATTTTATACATTCACGCTCATTCCATGATAGTATAGTATGAATTCATTTTATTACATAATTATATGAATGAATGTATAAATGTAAGAACCTTTATAGTGTTATTATTTTATTTTAATGAAAGATACATTTGAACATAGATTTCAATTGAACTTAAACTATAAAAACTCTGCTGCAACAAAACAGAGATGCGTTTCAAACGTATTTCATGAAATTAATTTATGATATGAATGTCATTTTAAAATCATCAGTGAGATCATTGCTAAGAAAACGCATGTGAATACAATAACATCATTCATGACCACTGCGTTACGTAACTCCCAAATGCTAGTCTATATCTACAACATAAATAAGAGAGACATTAAAATTAATATGACAATTAATACGAGTGGGGTTATTTACTATATTACTCTCTTGCCCTGGTGACGGTCACCGTGATACTGCGTCATGTGTCATAGGGCAATGGTATGATATACGATATTTTATAGTTAGACTATATAAAAGATGCCGGTAATGGCGACCATCCCCGTCAGTACAAGGGAGTGCACGGTGACGATGTGTGCCGTGTTCTCGTTGCATAGATTTGAATCACGGCATGTATATCGACCAGTTACGCATGACTCAAATTCGCTGTCCAGACAGGCAGGCTCTTTAGCACATCCCTTCTTAACCAGTACGTTGTCACCTGTAATAAAATAAGCAATATGATTATAATGCCGTTATAGAAAGCAAAATTAAATATTGATAAATATGTTAGTTTGAAGAAACCCTTCGTCAATAGCAAAGTACGACGATTTTAGTTGAGAACCTGAAATATTAATAAACACTCACCAGTTCCTCTGACCTCTACGTAACAGTAATTTTCATCCCAGTTGCATATGGTTGGTTTGAAACAATCTTCATTTTTCTGGAAAATGGAAGAATCCGCGCCCTCGCACGTATAGCACTGTAATAATCCGGAGCCTATACCAGATAACAAAACAAAGAACATAAACATGGCGGCCGAGATCTCGTTGTGAATGAGAGTCGCGAGACTTGGTTCCCCCTCCCCCAAATAGTGTTCCATTATATTGTCGCTTCTACTGTTGCCTTGTAACCATGGTATTTTTGATCACAATGTCAGAAGAAAATGAACAATATTTGACGGACAAAAAAAAAAATCTCGCGGCTTCCTAGCTCTCAACGACAACTCGGCAGACAAGTTGCGTCTAAGTTATATTGAAACACAGTATACGTATATCGAAGGCAAATCGTTTACAAAACCAAGACTTCTTCATCACGTTCACACCTTCGAGATATGCTGTAAATAATACTAGGTTAAAGCGGGATGATTGTCACCTGCGCACGCTTGGGAATTGAGTCCCAAGCGACGATAACAACACACGCTAAGAACGCAATGGCTCATGGGTAGACGCTTGTTTGTAAACAATGACACGCTATGGCCATCTGACGCGTGCGCAGGTGACGATTCTCCCACTTTAAATGAATTCTAATGACATACACGAAAACGAAACTAAAAGTGTCGTCGTGTTCGATATGGGTTCAATTCGATGCAAAATGTGTTTATAATTAACTTACTCAGCTGTTGTACTCCACAGTCAGCGCAGTCGTAGCCAAACATACAGACATTAATGTTTCCCGCGTCATTGGGTCCGCCATCTTGACATATCCCATCGTTGATAAAACTAATGGCGCACTCGTTTTCACATTTCCCTGCAAACAAACAACATTTATAGCGATCGTGTTTAGTGGAGTGGTGGTTTCTGTAGGGAATATGGATTTTCCGACTGTACATATAATGTTGGTAATAGGAATCGAAAAGAAAAAAAAATCGAATTTACATAAAAATAAGCTTAGTCTCATAACCCGACTTGCGCCCTCTGTTGGCCACTAAACATGTGTATGGCTTGATGTAAGTTATCATTACACTACTGAATCCACCTATCTATGATATATGGTACATAACTGGACAACTGACATCGTGAGAACTATCACATATCATACCCCCCTCCCCCAGAGTTCCTGTTACATGTTACCGATATTACACTCAATATACTGCAGTGGATGTTACGGATATCAAAATCACGGTACATCCCATTCAATCATTAATCAGTGTAGTTCAAGTTCACGATGGTTGACAATCATGATAATTTTTCCATAATGTTATTGTTACGTATTATTGGCGCAAGCATATTAAGACAATAAGAACATGTCACTGAACGTTTCCATGAAAATGGTAACTATTGATTTTTTTTTTTTTTTGTATTTGAAAGTGTTATACAGCTCAAAATGGTGACCAGTTCGATTACAAAATTGTCCACATTTATTTGTGAAGCTCTAACAAAAGATATATTATTGATTTTGAAATATACTAATGTAAAACTGAAATTCACATGCTTTGCTGTACACCGTAATGTTTCCTGTAGTCTTTGATTTTCACTAAATTACAACTTACCATTTCTTTCCCCGCAGTCAGCGCAGTCGTATCCCTCGGGGCAATACGATGACACCGATCCAACGCCACCGTCATCGCAATTACCGTTTTTAGTGAAATCTGTGGAACAGTAGTTGGTGCATATGGTTCCTACTTCTGTTGAATAATGAAAGTGGTATTTGTACGTGAGCACGAGACATACACGGTCCGACAATAAATATGCCTATTTTCCAACAACATTGTAGTTACGGGCACACGTACGATTCATTTTGTTCAGTAAACGATGACACTGAAATCAAGGATCCTGTCATGCGATAGCTTGGTGAGAACTTTTTTAGATTGTTTAAATTTGTTTCGATATTTATCTTGAAAACACACATTATATTGCTAATAATCTTGACTTCTGGCAAAAACATAGTATTAGTTCGATGAAATGCCAGAAAATTTCTCATGCGCATGCGTACCGGATTTACCTATACGTACAGGTAATTAAAATACTGCTATTATGATGCTTGCTCTCAACAAAATATTTTTATTTTACGACAAATTATATCAATGTTTTAATCAAGATGCAATTACTAGTAAATCGAAAACATTTATTTTAAGACTAATTCTTTTAGAATACACCTATTGTAAACCTTATAGAAGTGGCTCTGTAAATAATCAAAGTTATACACATTGCCTCTTCACACTCTGTACATGTGTAAACCTAGTTTACTGATAAATATGATATACGCGAATGTATACAGTCATGCGACCAACACTCACCGTCAGGGCCCGCAATGGAGGTGTAATCGCGTGGTCCACAATCTGTACAGTCGTACCCTTTCTCACATGCGTAATCAGTGGCGTCTGGTTCTCCGTCTTCACACAGTCTGTTATTAGTTCGGTCAACGAAACACGTGTTCAAACACAGGCCTTGGTCAATGGAAATAATCATTGTTAATAATTATACTGTTCAGTAATTCTTCCAGGGACATGACGTTGTATTCTACTGTCTTGTAATCAATCATAGGGGCGTATGTTTCAATATTGCGGCAATCACATGGGAAAGATATACATGATGTGCCACCCAAATGAGGTACTTTTCCCCGAAAACTTCTTAAATAAACTTTTTCCTACAAAAATTGTCAGTTTTGCATGTATGTTTTGCTCGTTTGGTTTGCTAAATTCCCATTGTAACCTACATGAAAATATGACTACCCTCGATATTTATAGTATGGTGCTGCTTTTACTTGGCATGCCCAACCGTAGATCTTTAAACATAATTTACCAAGAATTTGACAAAACAATCCACAACAACAAAACAAAACAACTGACTAGTATACTACACTATACATAATTTTCACTAAAGTACCATTTCATTAATTAATATCGTCATAACGATATCTCGTATCTCGGGGTCATTTGCGTCTAAGATCTTACTATTTCTGAATATTGCGGTACTTCGAACATTCATCTGCCACGTCCTGTCGTAATAGATGTACATCTTGCGGAGTTTTTCGGTGATTATAACACGGCTAGCTACGAACGAGGGTCGACAATAATGGCGGATTCGATGACATACTCTGACACAGATACCACGCAAATGACACATTGGCTAAACATGTAAGAAAGGAGACGCGTAGATACAACGATGCTGCCAACAAAATGTATTTGCATAAAACGTCGAGAACGTGACTCACCGTTGATTCTTTCCCCGCAGTCTCGGCAGTCAGTACCCAGCGCACATAGGTCAGTATGAGAATCGGGTCCTCCGTCATCACAGGCTCCGTCGTCGTTATGATCAGAGAAACACTCATCTTTGCATATTTTAGCTAAATAATACAAAAATCGCATTTACGTTACATGTATGTACATGTGAAAGTCAAGGTCATAATGAAAAGGCCAAAATATTCAAGTTGTTAAAATCATAAATTATTTTAAGCATCATGTGATAACCATACGGGTATGTGTTGTCACTATGGTAACATCAAAGTTAAACTCTGCAAAGATCTCGTGTGAATGCAAAATATGTGCAATTATTGTTGTTTTATATACCTAGGAAAGGAAAACAGTCAGTGAAAAAACAATGGCATTAAAGGTTAAGATTACCAGTCAGCAGATGTTCAGTACCAGTACTAGTACATAACAAATTCGATCAGAAGTTTTTGAGATTTTGCTTACACAGGCTGAAATGAGACAACATGAAAATTAGCTACTTAATATTCACGTTCATGGCCACAAAACTAGTCATTTCCGCACATTCTCGCAAAGTACCTATGTACTAAATTAGATAAATAACCGCTAGAGAGTTTTTTTGAGATTCGGCTTACACAGGCTGAAATGAGGAAATTAATATGCAAATTGTCTACTTAATATGCACAGACACGGCCCTAATATAAATCATGCATGTGCATTGTCCCA